AATGTCACATTAACATCACATGGTCAGAATGAACTGGTCGAGGGCCCTTATCCTAGACTCCCCTCTCCTGGGCCAAAATCCACGGGCTCTGGTGTTTGAACACAGGAGCTTAAAAGCCTGCATGTTTTGGACCTACCATTTACTACAGATGAGAATGAGTTAGTGGTTCTAACTGTGGGGTGCATTTGCCCCCTGGGGGACATCTGGCAACGTCTGGAGACAATTTTTGGTTATTACAGCTGGGGGGACGGTCATTACTGGTATCTAGTGGATACGAGTCAGGGATGCTGCTAGACATCCTAAATTGCACAGGACAGCCTCCACAGAAGAGAATTATCCAGCCCAAAATGCAGTAGTGCTGGGGCTGGAAAACCCTGGATAAAATGAAGCTTAGGGTATGAAAAAGATGTGGCCAAGGAAACTGAGCTCGCCACTAAGAAAACTGAGCATACCAAGACCAAATGCAATGGGACAGATCACCCAGAGAGAGAACAAGGCCTGCAACTGTTTGCCCAGGTAATCCAGGCAGTTCTAAGGCAGGCAGACAGAGGGGGGAGGAGGTATTTTGAGTCTGGGTCATTCTTATTAAGAACAGTCCTTTGAGGATGGGCCACTTTTGTCAAGGCGCTTCCCCACAACTCGCAATGCTCAGGCCCTTCCCAAAGGTGTGGAATCAAAACACTGCCAGGACACACGCTTCTCTGCATATAAAGTTTCTTCTCTATAAAGTTGCTACCAGGACCCGTCTCCCAAATCCCAGGCCATGCCAGCCCTACCTGGCAGGAGGGTTCTTGTTCATGAACGTCTCAATGGCCCGCTCATCCTCGGGGTCCACAACCACCTCTGCGTGGTAGTCTGGCCCTGTCATGGTGGCAGCCTTCTCCAGAGTGGGCCACTCCTCGTCATCTGATCCATCCTGTGGCACTCCTGGACTCAGAAGAGGGGAGATGAAATGGGTGAGCAAGGTAAGCGATGGCTTAGGAATTCAGAGGTCAACCATCATGTATATGGTCCAGGGCTGGCTTGTAATAGACACAGACGTGCAAAGTGAAACAGGTGATGCAAATGCTACCTTCCAGTCCCCGGGGGGGCGCACACTCTTGCTTGAGAAACAAAATGTACACGTATGAACCAATGAGACAGTGCTAGTAGTAAATAACAGTTAACACACTATACTCAGTTATACAGCACGAACTCTTCTAAACACCGTGCGTAACCATCATAAACCCAAGAAACAGGTGCTATGATTATACCCAGTTTCAGATGGGGATGCTGAAGCACAGGAAAGGTGAGTGACTTGCCTAAGGCAGGCAATCTAGGTCTAGACTGTGCACTCTTCACCTCTTTTACACGCATGGTAGGGCTTGATTATGTGCCAAAATGAGTGGCAGAAGTGGTATCTACCACAGGCACCCAGAACATGAGCACAGAGGACGGTTAGGCTCTGGATAGGCAATATGGGAAATGAAGGAGTGTTTTCCAGGCCTGGGTAACAACACTGGCAAGAGGGCTTCGTTACAAGAGTGTCTGTTGGGAATTCCCTGGTGGTCCAGTGGTTAGCACTCTGCGCTCTCACTGCCGAGGGCGAGGGTTCAATCCCTGATCAGGGAACTAAGATCTTGCAAGCTGCGTGGTGCGGCCAATAAATAAATAGATAAAAATTTTAAAGTGTATAATCAATGGTTTAAAAAAAAAACAAAAACCCAAGAGTGTAGACAGTTGCAAGAAATAAGGCTAGATGGGTAAAGTGAGGCCGGGCAGTGAGTTCAGATTTCAACAGACCAACCCATCTGAATAACCGATTATCGGAAGACTACAGCTGGCTGGGCGTCTGAAAAGGGAGGTAATAATCTAAGTGGGGCGATAAAACGCTACACGTGAACAGGTCATTAAGAACAGAGACTGTGTGGTAAAAGCTAAACAAGGGGGGAGGGGAACACATACTGGATCTTTTGTCTCCACATGCTAACAACTCCCAAATCTGTACCTGTAGGTGGACCTCCCTTTGCTCCAGACCCTAACTCCAGCTGCCTCCTGTAGAGCTGGGTCATGGATGACCCACAGGCACTTCAACCTTCACCTGTCATCAACCACACTCACTCCCTTTCCCTCCTAGGTCTACACTACTCACTGTGTTCCACATCTAAGTAAATAGCACCACCATCCAGCCAATACTAAGCCAGAACCTGGGCAGCAGGCCTGCCTCGTCCCCTGCCCTCACTCAGAACATCCAATCAATTACCAAGTCCTATTCCATTGTACCTCACAGAATCCCTCTTAAAGCCTTCACGCCCCCGTCAAAGCCTAGGTCAGTTATCACCTGTTGCCTGAATTAATTCGACAATCCCCTAACTGGTCCCCATAGTCTCCAATAGCTCCCCATCGTCTTTAGGGCAGCCTACAAGTCGTTTGTAGCTCTCGCTCTGACCTACCTCACCATCATTCATTCAGCAAACGAGTGCCTGCTATAAGTGAGGCACTGTTCTGGGTGCTGGAATATAAGCGAACAAGAGAAACAAAAACATTCTGCCCTTACAGAGCTTACATTCTAATGGCGGAAACAGACGATGAACTAATATGACATATATTACGTTTAAAAAAGACAAATGCCACGACAAAAGAAACGTAGCAGAAGAGAGAAGCTGGAGTGTGGAGACAGGGGTGGGGGTGTTGCAATTTTTAATGGAATGCTCAGAGCAGGCCTAGGGGAAGCAGAGGTGGTCAGACTGACAAAAGGCGTAGATCACACAGGTCTTTGTAGACCACTGTAATCCTCGAGCTGTGGAGCTGAGTGGACTGTAGCGGGTATGGGATACTAATTAGCAGGCTACTGCAATCATCCAGGTGAGAGATCATGGTGGTTTGAACAGGATGCTGCTCCCAGGTGGTGAGAAGTGATCTGATTCTGGATATATTTTTAAGGTAGAGTCAACAGGGCTTCCTAATAGATCAGACGTGGAGTGAGGAAGAGGTCCAAGGTTTCTGTCTGGAGCAAATGGAAGGACATCATGCCATTAACTGAGACGAAGTAGACTGTGGGTGGAGGTTTGGCAAGATGGTCAGGATTTCTGTTCTGGACATGTGAAATTTGAGATGTCTCAGACTTCACACTGGAGAGGCTGAAGAGGTAGCTGAAATATAAGAATCTGGGTTTCATGGAAAAGATCAGGGCTAGAATATGAACTGGGAAGCAGTTACCAAATACATGGTATTTAAACCTGGAAACTGATGATAGCACCAGAGCAGTGAACAGAAGTGAAGACAAGAGGTCCAAGGATGGAACCCTATGCCACTGCAAGAGGTTGGTGGCAAAAGAGGAGCCAGCAAAGGCTACTGAGAGGTGAGGAAGTTGTGAAACAGGTAGGTATGTGATGTCTTAGAAGTCAAGTAAAGATACTGTAGTCAGGAGGCTAGTGTTCCATTGCGAATACTGCTCACAGGACAAATGAAAGATGACAACTGAGAAACAGATTAAGCAACTTGGAGGTCAACACTCCCAGCCTAATAAGAAAAAAATTGACCACCTTTTAATTAATCTCTCTCCCTCTTTAGCCCCTAATCAATATTGTTCTTTGTGCTCAGAGCACTCCCCACTTCTCAGGTCTTAGCACAAAGGCCAAGCAATCTGGGAAGCCTGACCCCCAAGACTAATGCAATTGTTATCAGAGAAACTACACTTTATCACGAAGTGCATTATTCTAATTGTCCATTTCATCGTCTCTCTCCTGGGCTAGATTGTAAGATCCTGAAGTCAGGTATTCGTCTATCTTGTTTACTTTTTAACCTAAACCATCTAAACTCCTAGCACAGTGGAATGTACATAGTAGACATCCCATAAGTATTTACAGAACAAATAGATAAATACTAGCAGAACTTAGTGGCGTGAGCAACCACATCCTGTTGGCCTAACCTTGGGGGTGCCTAAAAGCGAGTGCCTAAAACTAGGAGTGGGAGTGGAGGGCACTGGCCACCCTCATTCCACCTCAGGGCTGGGTGTCCCATTCCATTACCTTTGCAACAGTGTAATACGGCCCCCTGTTTTTCTATTCCAAGCTATTCCCCTTCCGGAACCTTTCAGCCATCCACCCCAGCTACCCACCCTCTTCCTCGTACCCACCCCGGCCACTCACCCAGCCGCGTGGCGCGCTCCCGCGGCGCCGCGGGCCTGCCCCCGGTCCCATGCTCGGCCTCGAGCTCCTCTTGCTGTTGCCGCGCTTGCTGCAAAATCCGTCGGGTCAGCCGGGGTCCCACATACTCTTCCTCCTCTTCTCCGGTTCCACGACCCCGTCGCTTTTCCCGGGCCCCTGCCCGCACCGCGTCCCTAGCCAGGATTTGCTCGGCCAGGGGCGCATGCTTTTCCTGACCCCCGGCCCCGCGAGCCGCCTTCAATTTGGGCATTTTTCTCGAGAGCCTTGCCGGGAAGTTTCACACGTGTAGATGGAGGAAAAAGCCCTGAATGCGCTTGCGCAGTAACCTCCCAGCGCCCAAGATGCCACACGGAGCTCACAGCGCCCCCTCGCGTTGGGAGGCCGGGACTGCCACCAGCGCCGCCCCATCGCCTAAAAGAGCTCACGGGTCCTGGAGCTGGACTCCCGAATAAACTCATTGCATTTAATGTTGGCTTCTCTAAGTGGTGGCAGTCCGAGCCACGCTTTCCTAGCTTCATGGATCTAGGCTCAGGGTTCCCAGTCGAACGGAAATTCCCCGAACGGGAAGCCGTGGGGGGGGGGGGGGTGGTGTCAGGCAGTGACGTCACTGGGGCGCCTAGACACGCCCCTTTTCCTCGTGAGCTAGACGACTGGGCGTTCTGTTTTTACGTTATTTCCGGAGCGTCTCCCTGCTCTGGAGCTTGCATTAGCTGGGCTGCTTCACCTCGTGTGAGCTGCTGGAGAGTATTGCATTTCAGTTGTTTGATCCTCCCATCATCCTGGCCCGACACCATGGGAGTGACTTGGTAGGACTTCAAGGGATTTTGTGGGGGCGGGTCTTGGGGTCTTGAAGGCCCTCGGAACCTCCAGTGTACCCGGGAGGAGGATCGGGACCAGGGTCCGCCGCCCCCCGGGAGCTGAGCAAGATGTCCTCGTGTTGTGTGGGTGAGGGGGCCACCGTGAGGGCTGCGGAATCTGCGGGACTTTTCCCTCGGAGATGCGCCCCTTCCTCCTGGAAGGCGGCAGGTAAAAGGTTTTATCTTAAGAACCCACCAATTGTCGTGTACCTCCTTCCCTTTTTCTTGGTACGTTTTGCTGCCCGTGAGGCCATAGTACTGCCCGGGGTGGAACTTTAGGGTCGGAAGTAGAATATCGGGACTAGGACCCATTTGCAGGCAGGGCTGGACGGTGGGGGATAGGCAACAGGCAGACAGTATCTTTAAGGTTTTCGCCTGCCCCTCCCTACAGCCACTAAATGCGGTTACACCAGCCTGTGTATGGTCCTAGTTTGGCCATTTTAAGATCTTGGGTCTAGAGGAAAAAAAGAAGCTATCGGGAATTAGGAGATTGGGATTCCAGGTACATCACCTCTTCAGGACCTGTTTCTTACTATGTTTAATTACATGGTTGGTTTAGTTTCTATGGACTTATTATCTCTAACATGTTATAAGTCAGTGTGGCAGGGAAAAATATGGGCCTAATTTTCTTGGAGGCATTAGTTCCAAAATGCTAGATTTCAGGGCTTTAATATATATATATATATATATAATCTTGAGCATCTTTCTGGTCAGAGAGGGCTAGAGGCCAGGGTATCTGAAGTCAGTGGCTCTAGGCTTTTCATATAAGAGCCTGTGGGAACTCGTCCTCCTGGTAGCCCAGGTCTTGCAGGTTTGTCAGCACATTTGCTTCCTGCAGTTGACATCATGAGTTTCCTTCGAAGTCCTTTAGTGTAAGAACGATGTGAGGAACGTGAATGAAAAGTTTGCTGAGGACTTCCCTGGCGGTCCAGTGGTTAAGACTCCACGCTTCCACTGCAGGAAACTAAGAGTTCCGTGCCTCCCTGTTTGCGGAACGTTCGCGGAACTAAGATCTGGTATGCCGCGGGGCTCAACCAAAAAAAAAAAAAGTTTGCTGCACAGAGGCATGGAACCCTGTTGTTTCAGTGCAGAAGACAGACAGAGAGAAAGGGCTCTGTCGGTTGGGATGCTTCTCAACTTTTTCAGGCTTCTAGGACTTCTGACCCCGGTAGCATTACCTTAGGGATTCTTTTTTTGGGGGGCCTCCGCTGTGCCATGTGGGATCTTGGTTCCCCTACCAGGGGTCAAACCCTCGCCCCCTGCATTGGAAGTGCAGATTCTTAACCATTGGACTGCCAGGGAAGTCCCAGGGGTTCTCTTTTATTTCAGAAGCAGGCACATAAGCATCATCATCGCTTGTCAGTGCTTTTTCTGATGGAGAGTAGTGACAATTTTTTTAGCAACAGTAGGACTCTATTTTTATAGCTTCATTTACTTGATTATGATTGATCATAAAGCAATGCAGTGTCTCCCCAAATTCAGCCACGTATGACTGTATTTATGATTTTTATTTTGTCATGTAGCACTTGAACTATTATTTATTTATTTAATTTATTTTTTGGCTGCATTGGGTCTTCGTTGCTGCGCGTGGGCTTTCGCTAGTTGCCGTGAGTGGGGGCTGCTCTTCATTGCCTTGTGCGGGCTTCTCATTGTGGTGGCTTCTCTTGTTGCAGAGCATGTGCTCTAGGCACGTGGGCGTCAGTAGGCACGCGGGCTTCAGTAGTTGTGGCACGCGGGCTCAGTAATTGTGGCTCGCAGGCTCTAGAGCGCAGGCTCAGTATTTGTGGTGCACGGGCTTAGTTGCTCCACGGCATGTGGGATCTGCCCGGACTAGGGCTCGAACCCGTGTCCCCTGCATTGACAGGCGGATTCTTAACCACTGTGCCACCAGGGAAATCCCCTGAACTATTATTTATTAATGTCTTCTTTGGATTCTGTTTCTTTTCCTTAAAAGTATTTTAACAGACAACTATATTCCTGGGGAAGCATTCTGGTAGACTGGTTAAGAGCACGGATATGGAGCCAGCTCGCCTGGCTTTGAAGTTTGGTCACGCCACACCACACCAAGCTTTGTGACCTTGTGTGAGTTATTCAACCCCTCTGTACTTCAGTTTCCTCATTGACAATGAAGAGATAATAATATTATATCTTATAAGGTTGATGTGAAGATTCAAAGAGTTAATTTATCTAAAGGCCTTTGGACACTGCATGGCACATAGCTAGTGCTTGTTTCCTACCACTCTAAAGGGGAAGCCAGTTTCACTCACCATAGAAGGAAATCTTGGAAATAACTTCTTGTTTCATTGTTTTGGTTAAATTCTTGTACGTACTGTTGCCTCTCACTCCCAAAGATTAGGAACTTGAGGCTTGCTTCCTCTTTGATCCCAGGATCCTTAGAACTTTCTGCATCAATGGAAATGTTCTGTGTCAGCACTACCCAGTACACTAGCCCCCAGCCATGTGTGGCTGTCGAACCCTTGAAATGTGGGTAGTGTGCAGCTGAGGAGTTGAAGTTTTCATTTGTTTTATTCACTTAAGTGTAAATAGCCACATGTGGCTTGTGGCTACTGTGCTGGACAGCCCACGTGCAAAGTGTTAGAGAGTTGGTAAGAACATAATAACCCCAAGTTGAGGCTTTGTCTTTGATGCAGTCAGAGCGGAAAGAAACGCAGAGGAAATCCCTTTCTCGTCGTATAATTCAGTGTTACTGCATGCTCAGTCTGTATGCCACCTAAAATCTTCTCTTGAACATTGGCACACATACCACACTCGGGAAATGCTGTTGCCATAGACCTGAGTCCTGAGACCTGCTCTGGTTCTTAGCAAAGCTCTCAGGGACTGTGGGCCTCTGTTTCCCTGTCTTTAAAATGAGGAGGTCTGGATTGATGGTGTCTAAGGTAACTACGGGCCCTGATGAGCTGTGATTCTGCGGGTGAGTGAGTGACTCAACGAGTACACGTGCATGATGATTTTGGTCCTCTCCCTTCCAGTGTGTCCCAGATGCCCGTGGCCGAGGGCAAGAGTGTCCAGCAGACCGTGGAGCTCCTCACCCGGAAATTGGAGATGCTTGGAGCAGAGAAGCAAGGAACATTTTGTGTGGACTGTGAGACCTACCACACGGCTGCCTCTACCCTTGGCAGCCAAGGTCAGTGAGAGATGGGTCTATGGGATGGCTGGAACCTGGCGTGGAGTTAATAGACATTCAAGTTCATTGAAACCTTTCTGCTCTTCTGCTGAGGGTGGTATTCGTGGACATGGCGGCAGATGAGTTTGAGTTTCCGAATTCATTAATTTTTGACTTCATCTCTTAGACTGGGCCTGTGTTGTAGTCTTTTTGCACTTTGCACTTTTAAAACAGTGTTTCTCAGAGTGTTGGTCACCGACGAATTGCCTCAAAATCCTCTGGGTTACTTGTTAAAGGTGCAGGTTCCTGGCGCACCCCCCCACCCCCACCCCCGCTTACCGACTGACTGATAATCAGTCATAATCTACATTATAATAAGCTCCACAGATGGTCTTCATGCACCCTTAAAATTGAGAAAGACTCCTTTGAGGCTCAGAAGGCTTTGCATATGATTCTCTTGGAGCTTTAGAGTTTTGGGAACTTGTGTAGAAAGGCTTCCTGTTTCCCACACCTAGCCAGTGGCCTTGGCTCCCTCCTTAGCATAACCTTGATCAGTGAAACAGCTTTTGTTTTAAATGCATTTCAAGGTGAGATGGGCTGTGTTTGGTGATGTTAGGGAGGTAGAGGATTTTTGGATAGGAATTAGGGAACCTGGGTTCTCTTAGTCTTGGCTCTGTAGTAACTTGATTTTGGACGGTTCCATAGCACAGTGACTAAGAGCCTAGGTCATGGAACCAGACAACTGAGTCCTGGCTCTGCCACAACTAACTGCAACTTTAGGTTATTCCCGCAACCTGTGACTGTTCTTATGCTGGTCACTTGCCTGCTTCCCCAGGGATCCATTCCCTGCACTTCTCCTGCAAACTACATTTGCAAGGCCTCCTGTAAGTTATCTTTGGCCAGTGAGAGGCACGGGGGAAGATTTGAGAATGGAAGAAAGAGAGTCCACAGTCTCTCTCTCCCTCTCCCTCTGCCTTGGGCTGTGTCTCTGGCTGTTGTTTCTTCCTTGGTTCTAGCTCCTGTTCAGCAGCCCTTGTTCCTGGCTCTCGTAACAGCACATCTTCTCTTTTTCTTCCAGCCTTAGGGATGGTAGTGGCTCCCTGTGTTGCTAATCTTTGGGTGGCTTCACCGGTCCATTCGATTTTTCAGTTCTTCCAACCCCTGTACTTCATTCCCTGTATTAAATCCCCTCTAATGAAACTGTCTGGTGGGGGCTATGTTTTTTGCACCCTTCCCAATACAGTTCTCTTATCTGCAAAATGAAGATAATCAGAGTATTTACCTCCTAGTGTTGTTGTGCTAATTAAATAAGTTAATACATGCAAAGCACTTAGAACAAAGGTTGTCATGGAATAAACGTCTAGTAAATGGTAGCTAAGAACTGAACTGAATTTCATCATCAGTAAAATTGCAGTGTTAACATGTGTTTTGACTGCAATAGGAGGAACACAAAGAGTCAAAAGAGAGAACGGTTATGAAAGCATTTGGAAAACAAAACACTTGTATATAGACGTAAGATAGCATGCTACTTCTGAGAAGCTCTTTGGCCTGGGCTCTGTCTTCCTCATCAGACCTTTACTTTCAAGGAACTACAGTCTAGGTGGAGAAACAGCACATTCTCAGCAGGCAGTGGGGTAGAATGGAGGGAGCTCAGAAGGCCTGGATTGGAGTTCCGGTTCTGCTGCTTTACTGGCTCCGTGCCTTTAGGTCAGAAGTTCTCCCACTGACTAGCGTTAGCATCACCTGGAGGGTGGGAAGGCGGGCTTGTTATCCCTCAGATCGACCCCCCCACCCCTCACGAGTTTCTGACCCAGTAGGTAGGGGGTGGGGCGGAGAATTTGCATTTCTAACAGGTTCCCAAGTGGTGGTTGGTGCTGCTGATCTGCGCCCCAAATCTTTAGTTGCCTTTCGACTGTTTTCGAGACGGTAAGAACACCTGCAGACTCCCGTAGTGTGAATTAAGCATGTAATCACAGTGAGTCTGCACAGGAACAGAATGCCAGATTGGCTTTGGATGTCTTTTTACTGGAGGGTTGAAATGTTTTGAACTGGATTTCTCAGGTGAAAGGTGTGAATTTGCAGCAGGCAGTGGGGAGGGCGTGGGGGGAGGTTGGTGTGGAGCCTGGTGTGTTCAGGAAGTGGCAGCACAGTGGAGGCCTGTGTAGAGGTCACAGCGCCCCCCACCTGTCTCCTCACTCTTTCTCATCGCTGCGCTCTCATCCCTGCCTGAATCCCACCCTCTCTTCATAACCTGGTTTTTCCATGAAAGTTTTTCCTGCTGACTCTTGCCCACTTTGATCACTTCCTTCCCTGAAGTCTTTCCTTCCTTCTCAAGACTTCTGGTCTCTCCCAGGCAAGCACTTTCATTTTATGGTCTTCTAAAGAGTTTTCCACCTATCTTTAGTGAGATTGTCAGCTTCTTGAGGCCAGGGGCCAAGCCCTCTGCTTGTGTGCCTCGTAAACCCTGGCACAGTGTTGGGGATAGTTTAAGTACTTAATAAATATTGGGGGTTGTGGCAGTCTGTCCATTAACTCTTGTAGTGAACAAACCTTGCTTCCCATTTTTTGCCTTCTTCCATTTTCTACTTAACTAAAAATCTATACAGCTTTCCTTCCTTCTTGCAGGAAACCTATAGTAATCAGTGAGAAAACTCATTTCTCAGAAACTGGAATGGGTGAGTGGGATTTGAAACTGGATCTTGTGATTCTAGATCCTGAGTTCTTTGTGCTGTAGTTGTGCTGCTTGCTTCCCAAGCCGGCTAGATGTCTTAAAATTCTCTAGAGGCTCCCCGTTGCCTTCAGGGTGAAGTCTGAACTTGGGCACGGGGACTTCCCTGGCAGTCCAGTGGTTAAGACTTTGCCTTCCAATGCAGGGGCTGTGGGTTGGATCCCTGGTTGGGGAAGTAGATCCCACATGCCGCAACCAAGAAGTCCGCATCCTGTTGCAGTACGCAGACCTCTCACTGTTGTGGCCTCTCCTGCTGCAGAGCACAGGCTCTGGACGCGCAGGCTCAGCGGCCATGGCTCACGGGCCCAGCCGCTCCACGGCATGCAGGATCCTCCCGGACCGGGGCACGAGCCCGTGTCCCCTGCATCGGCAGGCGGACTCTCAACCACTGTGCCACCAGGGAAGCCCCAAATAAATATATTTTTTTAAATGTTAAAAAAAATTTTTTTTTAAATGAACTTGGGCATGGAAGAGAAGGCTCTGGCCTCCCTTTCCAGCCTCGTGCTCAGATACTCTTCTGTGGGGCCACTTCCTATGTTTCAAAGAGGGAGGAGGCCAAGGAAGGTAGGGATGGACAGAAAAGAGCAGCTGCTTCGTTTGGTGTGCTCAAATGCTGTTACTTTTATTTTCCTTAATATGTGATACCTGTCTGTACAAAAGACCATATGTAAATCCTCTCTGAGTTATTAGTCATCATCCTTAATCATCCATCTGTGAGCCCATCACTCAACTTAAGAATTAAACCATTATCCACTGTCGAAGTTCCCCATGTGCCCCTCACCTTTTTCTGTAGAGCGGGTGGGTTATATCACATGCCACCTTTTCCTCTCCCTTCCTATCTGGAAAAGGCTGTTGGCGAGGGGCTTCCCTCCACCGCCCTCCAGGACCGTTGAGGTGATGCTCGATTGCCACCTGGCTTCGTTCAGCGCATTGGACTCTACTCCGCGGTTTGCTGACGAAGGCCTTGATACTGAGTAGCATCTCCGTCCCTTGCAGGTCAGGCCGGGAAGCTGATGTATGTGATGCACAATTCCGAGTACCCTTTGAGCTGCTTCGCCCTCTTTGAGAATGGCCCTTGCCTTGTTGCTGACACCAACTTTGATGTGCTCATGGTGAAGCTCAAGGGCTTTTTCCAGAGTGCCAAGGCCAGCAAGATTGAGACCCGGGGCACCCGCTACCAGTACTGTGACTTCCTAGTGAAGGTGGGCACGGTTACAATGGGGCCCAGTGCCCGAGGCATCTCCGTGGAGGTAAGACCTCGGTGAAATAGGAGCATATGTGCTGAAGGGGCTGGCTCTGCAGATTTCCACGGCCCCTGATTGCAAACAGATGTTTCTACCTACCTGATTCCTGTCCACAGAGCCACTGCGCTTCCTCTCCCTGCGTCTTTTACCCTTTCTTTAATCACTCAGGGACTTTCTAGCCCAAGATAGGAATGGGAAGCTGGGTTCTCAGCAGGTAGAGAGCTTAGGAAGGCTGACTTGCTGGAGAAGGGGAGGGATGGTCGGAGAGGGCGGTGGGAGCAGGTGAATTCTGATGTGGAGGGACCAGTCACCCATCACAAGGACTGCAGCAGACCAGGGCAACTTTCAGTGCAGTTAACTTTTGGGAGGTGGAAAAGTTGTGCAGCATGGGAATTCCCTGGTGGTCGAGTGGTTAGGACTCGGTGCTTTTACTGCTGGGGCCTGGGTTCAATCCCTGGTCAGGGAACTAAGATCCCACAAGCCGCCACAGCCAAAAAAGTTGTGAAGCAAAGATGTGCCTTTCCCTTTGACATGCTGTCTACTCTCATGGTGTGTGTGATGACTTCATCTTTGACGTATACACTGAAAATGACAAAGACGGAGTGTGTCAGTAGCTGGCTTTGGGACCAGTGAGAGTCTGCAATCTACCATGGTCCCCCCCAAAATAATAAGTAAGCTACAGGGCCTGCCTTTTGAAAATTGACGATTTAGTAAAAGAGCAAGGCCCAAACACACAAACTGTTTTTGAAGTTAGTCTATAAGAAATGCCATAAAAGAGGCACAGATTGCTCTGGGAGTTCAGGCCAAAGAGAGCACTGCTGACTTTGGGGATTGTGATGCCACCTGCAGGAGTAGCATTTAAGGAGGGACTTAAAATATAGAAACCGGGGATAGGTCAGCCCTAAGGAGCACCCCAAGTGAAGAAAAGGGCGTTAGTGGTCATTACTGCTATGACACTCCAGGGACCTCTAGAGCCAGGATTTCCTGACCCTTTTCATTTATGATACACCTTGCATTTGCCGAGACCCACTGGAAACCCAGTCTGTTTATCCTTCATGTTTCCAACTTTTGAGTACAAACACAGCCTGGCTGTTTCTTTACTTGTTTCTCCTTATGGTTACCAGTAATTTCCCCGGCCATCTCTCCAGTGAAAAATTAGGAGAGGAAAATGAGAAAGCCTAAGATATGTGTCCTTTGGCCCCTGTCACATGGGTTGGGAAATTATTTCTTAGGTCAGAGCCCAGGTTTTATCTACTTAGGGAGTATTGTTTGGTCTTGAAGTGACTTATGAGCGCATGTGTCTACTTTACCCTCTACTGATCCCCCCAGCACACACACACACACACGCGCACGCACACACACGCACGCACACTCATACACACTCACTCTGTCTCCTGCTCTTCATTTTCTCTCTCAGAATTTTCCTGAGCTCTCCATGAATCTGCATCCAGCATAGCTGGGACTATATAGTTCTGAGATAATTCAAAGGGTCCTAAATCTGCTTCTGGGTCTTGTGCGTAGGACTGTGGGTTGATAACCCCAAGATGAGACTATCTGAGCCTAAAGGGAACTATGCTGGGTGTGTCGAATCCCTGGTGTTTGGGTTGGATATTTCCTGCGGGGCAGCCCTGTGCTAGAAGGTGTGTGTCTTTGCCTCAGGGTTGGGGAAGAGGGGCACGGGGGGCAAGAGGCGCACGAGAAGCAGACGACCTGTCCTGGCCCTCGCTTACCCTCCGTCTCTGTTCTTCTGGTCCCCAGGTGGAGTATGGCCCCTGTGTGGTAGCTAGCGACTGCTGGAGCCTGCTGCTCGAGTTCCTGCAGAGCTTTCTAGGCAGCCACACCCCAGGGGCTCCCACTGTGTTTGGGAACAGGCACGACGCTGTCTACAGCCCAGCAGACACCATGGTCCAGTACATGGAACTCTTCAACAAGATCCGCAAGCAGCAGCAGGTGCCGGTGGCGGGGATCCGTTAGTGACTGGCAGCTGCCCGGCTGAGCTGTCGCCAGGCGGACTCCACAGGAGGAGCAGGTGCTGCACCCTCAGGCCTCTGGACCCCAGAAACCCAGGCCAAACGGGAAGGTTTTCCTCCCTCTCTAGTTCCCAGCTGTGGCTTCTGTTCTGGGGCTCTGGACTCCCCTCCCCTGACCCTCACACACAGCCCCCGACAGGTGTTTCAGCTGGACTTGGCCTGTCCTCAAGAACAGTAATTACGAAGAGTGGAGCAGTTTGGAGCTTTCCTGCTCTAGGGGAAAAGATAGGATGGGGGTGTCCCTGCCTCGTGAGGGTGGGGAAGGCAGTCTGTATTGCTAACTACTGGGGATTTGGTCCAGGACCACAGTGGACAGGCTGCAGGTTGTGTTTGGGTTGGGCTGTAATAAAGGCCTCTCCCTCTGCTCAAAGAATGTGGCTGGGCCCCTCCTGGAAAAGGAGTAAGAGGCACAGCTTACTTGATGGTTATCATTTTCTGACCTCTTTGCTGAGGTGAATTGTGAGTTCACTTTTCTAGGGTGTTGCCTGAGTCCTTTGAAGTCTTCCTCTGGACATCTTTCCATTCTGTTGTGAATTATATTAAGGCACAGGCTAAGGTGCTGTAACAAGGAGAACCTAAAGTACAGTGGCTCTTAGAAGTTTATTTTTCTCTTTTCTAATAGTACAGAGGTAATCAAATGGTCCAGGGCAGATTGAACTCCACAGGGTCATCAGGAACTTGGTTTCCTTCTGTCTTGTTCAGCCACCCCTAGGGTGTTGTCCTTGGGTGAGTCAAAGTAGACATTGGCTCCATGTCCACATTCCACTGGGGAAAGAGAGAGAAAGCAGTTTCTTTTTTAAAGGACATGACCTGGAGTTGCTTAAATCACTCTGGCCACATCTTGCTGAAAGGAACTCTGGGACATAGAGCCTCTTATTTGGGTGGTCATGTTCCCAGTTAAAACGCTGGGGGTTCTGTGACTAAAAGATGAAGGAGAAAATGGATGTGGGGACCCAGTTAGTAGCCTCTGCTACACGGAGCTCAATGGATGTGCCCAGGAATGTTCTTAGCTGTTACTTTGCAGAGAGTACCCCTGTAAGCAAGCCATTCATTTATGAGTTGGACTGTGATAGGGCTGATGCGAGAGCCACTTTAGCTGGATTAGTCACACGGGAAGTCACTTCCACACGCCTTGCCTAAGTCTCAGCATCAAGACCTCTCCAGTTCTCATGCGCCCAGAGCTTAGGGTTAGACAGTTGACCTCGTACTCACACTGTGCTTCATGCTTTCCTGCGCTCTTTCTCATCTCATTTGAGCCTCCAAGCTGCTCATTTGACCTCCATTGTCTGCCTACCCCACTCCTGCTGCAGAAATGTTCAGTCCAGCTAGCATTTAGATACACAGAGATGGTCTTAGGAAATATATTAATGTACATACTGCAGTATTGTCCTCAAGGATACTGTCCCTCATTGAAGGCACCTAAAGAGAAATTGTTTTCAGATCTAAGTGCTCAGATCTAAAGCCTCTGTAACAAGAATCATGCAGTGGTCATGTTTCCCTTTTAGCTTTGGCTGGCAGGAAGCTCAATTCAACTTTCTAACTGTAGGACCTGTCATTTGTGTTTCTTGTTCTCACCTCCCCCTGGCTTCTTGTTTGTTTCTTTGCTTTGTTTTTACTTTTTTAAATGGAGGTATGTTTTAGATATTATTTACACATAATAAAATGCAGAGTTTTTTTATGTTTTTGGCCTTCTGATTTATGTTTGCTTTTGTCTAGATTTATCTATTTGTATTTTTCTGTAGGCTGCCTCAAATTTTCTATGAGATGAGATAGCATTTTGAACATAATGTGTTCCCGAAAATATATAGAAATTGAGTGTGGTAAATGTAACCCCAGACTTATGCATTATAAGGAGGGGTTCCTTAAAAACTAAAAAAGTAGTATAAACTCCCTAACTGTCTGTGCCTTTTAGACATAACCTTCACTCATAAATTTCCAGCATACTTCACTTTTGTTCTTTTCCCTTATCTTGAGCACACATTTGACCAAGATTTAAGTCCAGTAAACACCAGTTCAGGCTTTAAGAATTGCCACTTTTTGTCCATCTTTGTCCTTTCCGTCAGTTAAAGAAAGCTTATTACTAAAAAAAGGCGGGTAATGCAATACATTTTTTAATTTAACAAATTCAACTCCACTAGCAAAGTTGCTAAAACTGAACTGGTGACTAGTGGGAAGGGCCCAAATGTCATCCAGCTTTTGTATGTAAGTCTGAATGGGGCTTTCAAGAGTAGTTTAGGGTTGTCGGTGTACAGTTTTTGAAAGTTCAGGTTGAATGAAAGTTGAGGAGCATTTGTATAAAGGGAAAAGAGGCATGGTTATCCTCATTTTAAAAATGAAAAAAACTTAAACTCAGCTAGTAAATGGAGATGCTGTATTTTGGTTTCAAATCTGACATTCCTCCTTTTACACTAGACTGTCTTCCTGTCACTCCTTCCTTTGCTTCCGGATGCCTTACCCCTCTCCCTGTCTGTAGCTACCCCAAAAGAGCAGAAACCAGGACATTTCTGGGATTCTGCTAACATGTCACCTTGGTGGGTACCTTTGTCAGAGTCACATAGAAATCTGCCAACCTTGACTGTCAGAACCATGCAGGGCAGCTTTAGAGTTTACCTGGTTCTCCTTCACTGTAAGATGGGGAGGCGGTGGCTCCCAGGGGGGGTCATGCTGAGAGGTGAGGCTGGAGTCAGGACCAAACTTCAGACTCAGGACTCGTGGCTCCCAGCGTGTGACAAAAGGTGGCGCCTGGACCTCTGTGTGGTGCCAGGTGATTTTAGGTGGAATGTGGAATACATTTTTGTTTTCGTACTTATGCCTTATTCTAATGTACATTAGAGCAAAGTATAACTGGCACTTTATGTCTTAGGATGAGGGTAAGTACGTTTTTTTAAGAAGAGTCCACTTAAAGGGAACTGTTAAGTTATAGTGCAGGTGATACCTGCAAAAGGCAAAATCTGGAGGAGGAAGGAGGATGCTAGAGTTTGGGGAAACACTAAGTTTCGTCCACTTCGTGTATCCATTGATAGTTCCTGCTCTTTCCTCCTGTGCCGTTCTGATTCTCTGTACCTGTTTCCACGCTGCCTCCCGCTTGCTTTCCTCAGGTCTTGAGTACCAAGTCGTCACGTGTTCCCCACTGTGTATTGGTGTCACTGCTCCACTGAGGGAATACCTAGGGACTGGCCACTCCTCCCCACCACCAGTTCTGCCCCAACCCACTGTGTCCAGTGTTCATTCCTCAGGCTTCAGGATGAGTGAAAAGTTTTCTCTCCGAATCCTGGAGGGAGGGTGCGGGGAGCAGAAGCGTGTCCTCCAGCTGTCAAAAGTTGAGACTTAAAATATGGGAAGGGCTCTAGGCTGAACATTTTGAGGACATTCACAGTGGATTTAGAGCCAGGCAGGACTGATGTGTGGCCTTTCCCTCACCACAGCCTCCCTTTCCATATCTGCTGTTGTCTGGGAGCCTTGGGCGGCAGTCCCCGGTCACAGTTGCTGTGCGGAATGGCGACCGGCTGGGTTACAAGTTTGGTCCTCTCCTGGGGGATGGCTGTCTTTGGCCTTCAAACAGTCACTTGTGGAGGGGATTTTCCCCCAAGGTGAGAACTCTGCCATTGTGTAGAGCATTCCAAAATCAGTCTCTTGGGTTAGAAGGGACCCTTGAGGTCACACAGTTTGACCATCATTCAGTATTCACATCTTTACACCATCCCTCCCAGAGATCATGCAGCATTAGCTTGGCCTCATCTAGGGAAGTCTGTTCTCTGTGTATTTCATTTTTGTCATTACCTCTGAGACAAAAAGCAAAGCAAAGCATACCTGTCCTTTCCCTTGCAGGTTGTGGAGACTGTGTGGTACTTAATGAGGGAGTAGACCATTAGTTGGGGCTATAGTATGAGCAAGCCATGACTCTTCAATGCACTGTGGGTTCTCAGCCCCTGAGGGGAGCCTCAGGAGGCCTAAAATGCCTTGAAAGTGGACACGGCTTTGTGTATACGTGCAGTTTTCTGGGAATAGGATTTATAGGGTTCATTAGAGTATTTCAAAGATCCATGGTCCAAAAAAAGAATCTCTAAAGCGAGTACATTGTGAAGGGAAAGAGCAGGAAGACAAAGATAAATCAGGTGTGACATACATCCGGCTGACTTACTGCAAGCGAGACCTTCCACTGACTTCTGAATCCTCACCTCGGGTCCCATCTCGGGATTTCCCTCCTTCATTTTATAGGTCTTCAGGCCTTTCAGTCAGTTTCTGGGAAGCTGGACTGTGTTCCTGCTCTTTTCTTTCCTATAGGTTCCTGCTTCTCATCTTGTCACTACATATACATACACACAACCTCTCAGAAATGAGTAGGAGCAAATATGTGTGAAGCAATCTTTATAGTACTCTTTGTGGCCCCAGGCGTTACTCTTCCATTATGACACACTCCATGGGATCTGAAAATTATCCTGTTGTAATGGCATTTTGCTTAATGAGCGTGTTTTCATTTTTCAGGATGGTGTGATTGATGAGGCAGAGAAATAGTTCCTTGCCTCTGTGATGAAATTAGCAAGTTAAAAAAAAGGATTCTTGGAACTCTCGGGGCAAAGATTCCTAATTCTCTTGTAGTCTCTGTTTTATTCCCTAACATATCCCTGCCCCATCAGATGGCATAGACCTGTTTTTAAGGTTAATCTGAATTCTACTGAGTTTTCTTTGGAGGCTTTAAAAAAGAATTTAGGGACCACATTTGTATATCCTAGATTGTCCCAAAGGCAGAAGTCAATATCGGACATCTGTTGTGTGGGAAAGGCAAGGCTAGGAATGTGGAGGTGACAGGTGTTTCGAGGCAGCCTACTAAATGGAAGAGAACACTGCTTTAGGAGACAGATGTCTGCATGCTAGCCATAGTGCTGTCCCTAACTTGCCAGGTAACTTCAATCACGTTGGCCTTTCTGGATCTCATCTGTGTAGTGGGAGTAATGATGCCCTCTTTCCGTATTTCATAAGCTTGTTGAGAGGCTCAAGGGTGAATAGATGTAAAGAGTGCTTTGGAGGCAAGGTGATGCTGTCTCTGCTCTTGCTTCTTTTTAATGGTGCTAAAGGTATTGTGTATAGTTAGGATGTTTGAGATAGGAAGCTATAGGGTTATTACTGCTTGGTAGCAGGTTAAAATTCTCCTCCAGTGCAAAGGAAATAGTTGTAATAGAGAAGAAGCAATGTGGAGAGAGAGTCCAGAGAAAGTATCTATCATACAGGTGTATTTTTATAATCAGTGAGATCAGTGAGCACAGTTGTAGGGACCATTTCTAGAGCATGGAAATATATTTTTAATATTTACTCATAGTGTTGGGATTTTACTTGTTCTCCTACAACCTAACGGAAAAGAAGCTGAGCTTTAAAAAAAAAAACAAAAACAAGAGTGGGGTAGAAATGGCTATATTTTCTTTGTGTAACACATCCATCCCTGTTTCCCCTCAACCCCCAAGCCTTAGTTGTGCCTGCTTCTGAACTGCTTTTTGGGTGCCAGTGTATATGGTGACTGAAGAAAGTTGTGTCTAAAGAAAGTTCAGTGTTCCTGATTCTATTTTCCATTCCTCATTGATGAACCACTGAAGCTCTTAACCCTCTAGCTACAATAAAACTTTTTTGTTAGCTATCTTGCACAGCCTTTTCATATTTGAATTATCTAAAATAGCCTTCTTATTCTTTCTGCTTCCATCTGATACACAATTCTCAAACTTTTTGGTATCAGGGTTCCTTGATGCTCTTAAAAATTACTGAGTACCCCAAAGAGCTTTTGTTTATGTAGGTTATATCTATTGGTACTTACCTTATTAAAACTTATTTATAATGAAAAAGGAAAGTATTAATTCACTTAAAAGTAACAATAAACACATCACATGTTAACATAAGGAAAATATTTTAATGAAAAATAACTTTTTTTTCAAAGAAAAGACTTAGAAGAGTGGCATTGTTTTATATTTTTGCAAATCTCTTGAATGTCTGACATAATAGAAGACAGTGGATTCTAATACCTGCTTCTGCAGTCAGTGTGTTGAAATTTGTTGTTTGGTTGAAGAATATGAAGAAAATCCAACCTCACACAGATGTGTAGTTGGAAAAAGGGAGAAGTATAGTGATACCGTCTTCCGATAATTGTGGATGTTTTTTGATACTACATCACAGCTCCGCTGAAGGTTAGTTGCAATGTGGAATCTCAAATTCTATCAGTGAACTTTTTGTACTCTATTATATTAACATTCATTGGTTTATTTTGCACTTTGAAGGGATCTTTTACCCATACACAGTTTTGTAGCATCATGCATTGGTCATCTTGGAAATATGCAGATCTTTTAAATGTTGACACATTTCATTTTGCAATATCAAACAATCATATTTGTTAATATCACCACCAATCTCATCAGAAAAGTCTTGGGAAGCTATTAAGCCCACAGTGGCAGATATGTTTTCGAAAATTCTAAGTTTTGCCTGAGAGCTTGAGTTTGATCAATGCTGTCAGGCTCAATTTGTTTATTTTTGAGAAAGTATCTTTCGGATACCCAAGGCTGAATGACTAATTTATCTGTTAGTTGTTCTTCCAAGTAAAAATGGTATTGCATGAATTGCTACTTCAGCTCAAAATTCAGAGAAATTGCACAAGTTCTTTTCCTCAAGAAAAACATTGTAAGGAACAAAAGTGCTTTATGCCTACATCCACTTAATCACATAGAGGAGTATTATTGAAAAAATTTGTTCTTACATAAAACAAATAGTTTTTATTTTAGTGCTTCATCAAGGACTTCCTTAAAGTGACACAGATATTATTTTTTCCTGTGAATGGGTGGCAGTGAAGAATACCTTGACTGCTAGTACAATTTAGTGCCATTGGTTTGATTTGTGTTAAGGCAGCAGCAATTTTACCCATTGTGACTTTTGTATCATTAGTGCAAATGTCATCACAGTGACAAAGGCAAGTAATATCTTATTACTATGAAAATAGTTTTGATTTCAGGGACCCTCCTGAAAAAAGTCTGTAGCTACCAGGGCTCCGCAGGCCACACTTTTGAGAACCACTGGTCTAATACGTACTCAGAGCACTGAGAATCACCACCCCCATTGCTATTTTGAGAGCACCCCTTCCTTCAGAAGTCTTAAGTGGCTCCAGAACACTTCACTCAAAAAAGCACCTATAATGGTGTCATGTACTTTGTTAGGGAAATAACATTGAATAAGATCCAATCTTTATTCTCCAAGAATTTTCTCGAGCGGCTGGGGAGTAACAGGAGAAAATAGATGAGTTATAATGTAAGATAAGAATTCCTTAAAGAAAATTATGTTAAAGGTGTTAGACAGCAAAGGGAATGCTAAATTTTAGGTCTAACTCTGAGCTCTTGAACCACATGGCAAATCCTCACCAAATCAGTCAGTCAACCACTAGGTCTTCTTTCATCAAGTCTTAAAAGCCTAAGTTTGGAAATGTTTTCACAGGTTTGGCTCCGGGCATTGCAGATTCTTGCTTACACATGCACATGCTGTTTCCCCCTTCTTATTTTATTTGTTGTTCTTTGGCTTTTGTTGCTTCTCTATTTCATATTTACAGGTGTGTAGCTTTGAGCCAGTGTAGGTGGTAACACATATGTTTATTTCTTTTCCTTGCCCTTGTACTTAAACGTAAGCCTTTACCTGTTTTGTTAGCCTTGCGTTGGGTGATGTAACTGCTGGTCTTATTTGGAGGAAGACCCCCCATCCCAGGCTGTGTCAGGGCAATGCACCCAAGAGGCTGCTCGGGAAGGAAGCCTTTTCTTAGACTGAGAAGATTTGTAGAAATAACCGCTATTCTATTTACCTGGCATCTCCATCCCCACGATGTGCCGAACTTCAGTTTACAGCAGCGAAACTCTTAGGGGGATTTCCATAAAACAGCTGAATTCCGACTGGGTCATCAGTGGCAAAAGTCAGACACGTGCTCACTCGCCTGGGAGCCAATAGTAACTTTTGCAAAAGCTGCCTCAGGAAACCCCACAGTTCGGAAGCTGCATCTTTCGGACACTGAAAAATAATAGTCTTTTACCAGAACAAAACAAAAACCTAGACGGGATAATGAGAAAGGCTTTTCCCCTTGGCATTGGGAAGCGATGTCAAAGACGCTCCATCCAAAAGGAGTGCGGGGAGCTACCGTAAAATTCCTTTACAGTTCCCGCGGGCTAATGGGCTGGGGAGAAGGGGGCGGAGATGGGCTCGGGTGAGTCTCTGGCCCTTTAAGGAGGAGGGTCAGGCGTAAGACTCTGTACCTTTAAGAGTCTCTTTGTCTGGAAACCTCCGTATTTACCCTCCTGTGCTTCAACCAAACTTCGACCCGCGATTCACAACGCCCCTCTACGCCGCCGCCCCTTACGGCAGGCTTAAATCGGCCGCGCGTCGGTGGCTAACCCTAAACTTGGCAGCCGCGGCGCGAACCCTCGGAGGGGATGTCTGTGTCGGGTCAGGGCCCAGCGCTGCGCCGTTGGCGCAATGCGGGGCCCGGGGGCGGGGCTCCGGCGGGCGGGCCAATGGGTGGGCAGGGGGCGGGGCCGTGTTCGGTTGTCTCGCGCCCTGGTGACAGCTCGCGCGTGCTGATGATGGCGGTAAATAGAGGGGGGTCAGGGGAGGGGGCGGAGGAGGTGGGGAGGCAGCAAAGGGGATAGCTCCAGGGGGTGGGGGGACGAGGACCGGGGAGGGCGCGACGGCCAGGGAGCCCATTCTGAGACTCGGAGGCGGGGACAGGAGTCTCCGGCACACTGGCCCTCCCCTTTAAAGAAGCAAAACCTCACACACCGGGTGAGGGGCGACAAAGGCGGCGCGCGCCTCACGGGCGGGAGGAGCGGCGGCAGGGGGCGGGACCGCGGCGCCGGCGAGCTGGGGGCGCCTGGGGCGAGGGCCGGCGGGAGGCGAGAGCCGGCTGTCCGGGAGCGCCGGCCCTTTATTTTGGCGGGGTGGGCGACAGCTGGGTTTGGGGTAAAAGCTTTGAGGGGAGAAGGGAAGGAAGGCTTGGGAACGGTTGGGGGAAACGGGT